CTCCCTGTCCTATCCACGTGGTAAATGGCATTTCACTTTAGAAACCCCAAAGCCAGAGGCAGCCTGTGTCGCACAAGAACTGGTTTAACAGCTCCCTCTTAATGCAAATGGTATGCACTAAGGTAGTACTTGAAGAACTAAGAACTGATTGAAGAACTAAAAAGCTGGAACATTTTCCATCAATCTCTTAACATCCTCTGCCGAAAACCAGTACTGATAGGACACAATTTACACAGTTATTTTAGGACTTTCAATATGTAGGTAGATGTCACTGATTGCAAGTGAGAAAAAAAACCTAGAGAAATAAAAGACTTGTTACACAGACACAGCAGGAAAAAAAGAGCTGCAGGTCACAAAACAAAATGTGATGAAATTTCAGCACATGAAATCATTCATCTAAAAGAAGGAAGAACAGCGAAGTTCACTGGTCATCAGACCAATGGTCTGATGTAATAGAGAGCAGAGATCTCCCACCACTGGATGAGATGCAACATACTTGTTGCCACACCAATTTTACTGCTGAAGAATTAGAATTGCCCCACATGTTTAGCCATAGGTGTATCCTCAACAGCTGTGTACTGAAGATTAGCTGTCAAGACACATCTGTGGGAAGAACTAAAGGACTGTGTCAGTGCTCTGGAAGAGCAGCCCAAGAGGTTGACAAATGTGACAGTGAAAGCGGCTCAGAATATCACAGTGGAAGAGGAGCTATGAGTTTCTTCTTTTCCTACAGCGCCCAAGAACCATCAGCATCATAATTGCGTAACGGGAGATCTCTGAAGGTCTCCAAATGATAAGCTTTACTATAAAGAACAGCACCAGATAGAATCTGCACCCACGTAATTTAATGCTGAGCATGCAAATGAGAAACTGCTCCTACTCTCCGTGCTACTGCCTGCCACAGAAACACACTACCATTTCATTTACCTCATTCCTTTCCCCCTCAGCTCAAAGATAGATTCTACATTTCACTGCAGAAATGCCTATTGGGATTGAGCAGAACAAAATCTGCTTTTATTTATTTCATGCTGCTCCTGGGCTTCTCTGCAAAAGAGAAAGGCATGAGAATATAAAGGACATCAGAAGCTGCCGCTTCACTGCCACAGACACCACAACTTATCTACTCTCTTATCCCAGTATGGCCCTCCAAGGCCTTCCTCCAGGATCTGTGCCCAAGTCAAACCCTTCCAAGGTATGCTATCTGTCATTAGCCTCCCCAGCTATTCCCCTTGATGGAAGAAAACATGCAGCACCCTGGTGAAGATTTCTCCACATGGAGACAAGCGTTATGCCTTTTGCTCTCTCACTACCATTTCCTGCCCGGTAACCATACCCACACACTCTCAGCACTTGGTTCAGTTACTGACCGTCACAGTCCCACCTGCCAGGCAGCCTCCATTCTCTCACTCTGACAAACAGTTCAATTGCTAATTTCTCCTAATGCTTTCTACATTTCCACCTATCTCTTCAGATGAAAAGTGTGGATACATTACCTCTCCACAATCTTCTGGTGTCCCTCAACTTATAGCCCCAGGCATGGAAAATAGATGTCACAAGCCCAGCATCCACCCAGAAAGCCCTAGCAGGGTCAACAGGATCAATATCAAGACCACAGCATCAGTCCAAGATCAGCAGGGAAACAAGGCTAGAGATCAGGCTAACAACAGGCACACCCCCAGTGTAATTCAAAGACAAATGAGGGCTTTTCTAAGACAGACCAGGCAAGTTCTTTCTTCATGTAATAAAGTAAATTCACCATAAGCTGATTCGGATCTCTGCTAACTTTGTTGATTACAGTGAAGTCAATCCTGATCTAAATTATTACAATAGAGGGTGACTGGCCTTAGTGATTTACTTGTTTTTGTGCCTTGATGACTTTTATGCTGCTTTCAAGTGAAGCATAATTTAACTTCACTTACTTATACTTTAAAAATGCATATGTAAAAAAAAAAAATAAACGCAGAAAATGTGAGGAAAGAAAGACTGGCCCCAGAGGATATAACAGAAAGTACCAAACTGCCTCTAAGACTGTCTGACTGACTCTGAATACTGATTGGTGTGAACTAGCCTGATCTTGTTAGTTCTGCTCCTCTGCAGTTTTCACAGCCTTATTTGGGTAGCGTATTAAACTCTCTAATGCTCCAAAATATGAGTAAACACCTCATGAGAGCAGTTTTTCCAGATGAAGTGTCTCTGTTTAGGTGAGAGGGGATGAGAGGGGGGAACAGGAAGATAGTCCTGGCTGGAGCCCAACCCACATATTGATTCTCAGCACCCACTCCTCAGGAAGCAATGTCAGCACACAGAGCAACAGCACAGGTTTCTCAATATATCTTTGTCCTTGTTGGTGCCTGGGTCACTTAGCTCTCATAGGGCTTTCTGATAGGACCTGTCCAGTTCCCTTTTTAGGAAGCATTCCCTTCCCTAAGCATTGCTCTCATCAGCATAAGCAGCCTTTATGCTCAGTATACATGCTTGGCATAAAGACACAAATGAGACTGAGCGATGTCTCAGTTTCCCTGTGGGCCTAAACTGCAAACGTTGCTGAACATCTCAACGATGAGACAAATGACAGCTGTCCCCAAATGGACCAGATTCCCTTTCTTTGAAGCAAAATCCTGGGCTTATCCTAATCACTGTTCTACCTTCCGATTAAAACTACCTAACCTTGTGGAACAATGCAACTCTCCCTGTTCAGTGAAACACCCGTTGAGGTCTACTGAAGACCACGCAGTTCTACCTGTCTCCACGTGTGTCTACCCTTGATCTGATGGCCCCTTCTACTGACTACCCCTAATTTTAATCTTTGCCCATTGATCAATAACCTATTGATTATGCACCTACAAGGTGCACTGAAGGATCACCTGGAAGGGTGTGTGTGTGTGTGTGTGTTTGTGTGTGTGTGTGTGTGCGTGTTTGTGTGTATGTGGTCTAAGTCTGTAAGTGACAGGGTGTGCTCACCACCGTGTCCCCAGGGACCCAGGGGCAGCAATGTGGGGGCACCTATTACACACCAGCGGGCTGCTGCTCTCCGAGGTTAGAGACTGCTCGGTAATGCGGACACATATCTCCGGGTCTGCCGTTTATCGTGGCAGGAGGGAAGCAATAAGCGATCGAGTAATCCAGCTCTACCCCGTGAAAAAACCACTCTCACGCAGCAGCAGGAGGCTGAGCCGCTGCGCTCCGTGCTCCGCTGCCTGCGCTGGTACAAGGAAAAAGGCTGAACCGGGAGCTCGGGATTTCGCTGACACCTACAGCCTTTACAGCCCAGCACAGCCGCGCCGTGTGGGCTGGGACTCCTCGCCTCTCCGCACCCGCGCTGACGGCTGTGGCGGGTCAGCTGCTCCCGGGAGGGGGGGGGCAGGGCGCGAAGAGGGGTTACAGTCCTGTGGAGGAAAGCGCGCCCATCGGTAGCACTTCGGGGAACGAGTTCTCGCTGCGGCTTTTGCCGAGGTCTCCTCAGTAAGGACCGGACTCGGCCGCGGGGTCAACGGCCGCAGGTTTTCTTTACACGCCCGCCGCCGCTTCGTAACGTGACCGGTGGAATCACCGTTAGTCATTACGTTTTTTAAGCGCTCATAACGGAGGCTTTAATTATCCATCATCTAGGACTGCCATTACAAGTACGAACCGCAGCCTCCGAGCAGTTCAGCGCAGGCTGCGGAGCGCGACTTGGCGGGGGCAGCAGCAGGAGCCTCTCCCGTCCCGCGTTCCGCAGCGCCCCTCGGAACCTGCACAGCCCTAGGAGGAGCCCTGCACCGCCCCAGGAGGAGCCCTGTGCTCCTACTGTGGAATGCCTGAAGCCCCCACCGCCGCGGGGGTTTCGGATACCCCCAGCCGCAGTATCCCAATCAGCGTTTCGGAAGGGCGGCCCGTGGCTGCCACAGCCTCGCGCGTAGCTGAGTACAGTGGGGATTGCCGTCTGCGCTGGCAGCCCGCTTTCCTGAATGGGAGAGAATCCCTACGCCCAGTTTGCTCAGATGTTTCAAACGGCTCTACACCAGCGAGAAGATTCAGTGACGTTATCACAATCAGAAGAAAGTGCCTTTGGTTTTTTTTACCGGAATACCCACCGTCCGAGGGGGTGAAGGGGTACTCCTCACTCCCTCAGCCGGTCCCTCCCCACTGCCGGGCAACAGCTCCCTATTCCCTCCGCACTGCTTTTGGGTGAACGGTGGAGCCAGACCTCACCGGGCTCTCAAGATGCGGCTGTCGGCTCCCCCACTCTGCCAAGCGGGTGGAGAAAGGGCGGGGGTACCGGCGTGGCGTGTTCCCCCATTTCCCCCTCTTGCAGCGGCAGCACGTGGCGCTCCCGGGACACGAGTCCTCAGCTGCCCCCTTCCCGCGGCTAGCGCGGCTTCGAGAGGAGCTTTTTATAGCAGCCGCGCTCCGCTGCCCGGCGGGGGCTTCTCCCAGCTCACGTTCCCGTGCGAGTGCGGTGTTAAATAAAGACGGGGAAAGGGGGGAGCAGAATTCTGCAGAACCTAATTAAGATATGGCATTAACTGGGCGAGCTAAAAATAGCCCCAACCGCTGTGAACCACATAACCGCAGACAGCAGAGCCCATCGATGTCTCCCGCGGCCCCGCCTTGAATGGAGCGGCCGGCGTGAATGGGCGCCGGCAGCGTGAATGGAGGGAAGAAGCAGAGCAGACCTGTGAATGGAACGGGGCCGCCGCGCCGGGCGGGCGCCACGGAGGGGCGCTGTGGCGCTGCGCCTCCGCCGCCGGGCGGCAGCTGGAACCCCCGGCCGCGCACGTGCCGGGCCAGTGTCACCTGGCGGCAGCGGTGGCGGCGGCGGGCGGGGCGGGAGGCGCGGGCAGGCTATAAAAGTGTCCCCCCGCGGAACTGGAACTTCCGAGGCGCAGCCGCGGCCGTGGCCATGGCCGAGGGGCGAGCGCCTGCTACCGACAGCCTCGCTTCGCCATAGGTTGGGCGGGCGCTGCGGCCGGGGTCCCCTCCGGGATCCCCGCCCCGACCCCCGCCCCGACCTGCCCCGGCCCTGCTCTGGGAGGCGGTGGTGCAGCAGCAGGATGAGAGTGAACGAGAGCGATCTGAACAGCTCCGTCCTCCCGCGGGACCCTCCGTCCGAGGGCGCCCCGCGCCGCCCGCCGTGGGTGACCTCCACCTTGGCTGCCATCCTCATCTTCACCATCGTGGTGGACCTGTTGGGCAACCTCCTGGTCATTATCTCCGTCTACCGCAACAAGAAGCTGAGGAACGCGGGTAAGGGGCGGTGGGGGATCGGGGGACGGGGACCGTGGTAGTGGGGTGCAGCGCTGGGGACTCTTTGGCTGCCAGTGAAACTTTGCCCGGGCGCGGAACTCCAGGGCTGGGCGCGCTTTGTCTCCATTCCCAGCCAGCGGTTATGGGCTGTGACAGGTGCCAAGGGCTGTAGCTTTCATTCCGAGTCGGTGATCGAGCCGGTAAGTGTATTTTTAGCACCCGCCACCGAATCGTGATGCTATTTTTAGCTCCCGACAGTTTCCCACCTGGCAAAACAGACAAGTAAACCTTACTTAAGAATGAGATTTAGACACGGTACTGGGGATGCTGCTGCGGCATACAGTGTGTGCCTGCACATGCTGGATGCTGTTTCTCTGATTCATTTTCTCTGAGCTACAGAAATGTCTCTAGTAATCAGTATTATGGTTGGAGATTCAAATCAAGTAAATATGAAGTTACAGACGTTGCAGGATTCATTAAAAAAAAAAAAAAATTCCCCCAAAACTCAAGACATTTAATTTTCTATGTTCACCTCCACTTGCTATCTAGGTCTTTGGGGAATGGGAAACATCTGTCAGAAAACAGATTTAGGTACATTCTTAAAAAATGAAATCTCTAATTTTGACAGCATAGAATCTTTGATGGTCTATTGAGTAAATCCCTCTTAGTTTATGGATTATTGGTCAGACAGGCAGGAACTTCTTCAGATTCATTCTGCTTTATCATGTCAGACCAGCTGCTGCGCACGTGTACCAAATCTGTGCTGTGAAAGGCCTGTGCATCTTTCATTGACAAAACTACAGGAGCATGTGAGGGGAGCTGCATTCATAATGAAAGCAGAATTTTACTCCATGATGACTGAGATGCTGTCTTTTATTTATTTTTTTTTTTCCATAACTGGCTGTCAAGCTCTTCGTTACAACAACTCCACTAAGTTCACTAGCTAGTGGTTTAAAATTCATCTGAGGAGGAACTTGAGCTGTGGCTTTGATGTAAGTTAGCATAGTAAAGGTAGCTGGTATTGGACTCTGGCAAACAGTGGCATGCTTAACTTCCTAAGGTTAAGAAGTCAGGTAATGCAAATGGATTATATGTTTCAGTTTTATTCAGCCATAGTGGCATGCCAACACACAGAAACAAAGACTAACAGATGATATTTTTTTCTTTCCTATGTCAATTCTAAAAGCTGTATTCTCTCCCTCCTTTCATTGACAGAAATTTCATTCACTGGAGCTACAGGCTTACACACTGCAATGTTATGTACTGGAGAGGAGAATCAGACTCCCTAAATCCAACCCAGCATTTGCCTGCCCTTGTTCCCTGGAAGGTTTTCAGATGGAGGGAGAAAGGATTGAGATAGGCATATTACTGGGGTTACTCTGGGGGAAAGGGTGATACTCTCGTAGGCCTTAATTACTAAATATATACCTCAGCACTTCTCTGCAGAGTTTGCAATACAGACGTGTCTGGTAGTATGTCTGAAATAAACATGGTTTCTGTTTTCTGGAAACATAAGGGAATCATTGGGCACTATGCATGTGCATATTCTCTGCTGTAGATCTCACGTAATCCCTCTTGAATCCTGACACATGCTCACTGGCTCACTGTTACTGAATTTCTTGTTCTTACCTTTTCTGTCATAGCGGCTGTTAAGAACTGCAGCAAACTGGCAACAGTTATCTCCTACAGCTAGGAGAATAGAGCATTCTTCTGAACAGAAATTATTTTAGACTGGCAAATGAATTAGATACTGACTTACCCTCTGAAATTAAGGCTTACTTAAAACAAGGAGATACTTGGTACAAGATAGGAAATAGATTGTAGCCTGCTTTAGGAAGAAAAAAAAGGAAAAAGTTTTAAAGGCTTTCTCAAAGTAAATTTTATGTAGTCCATGGATAAAAGGTAACTTTGAGAAGAGCATCATTAATAAGCTACAAAAAGATGTGCAAAGTGTTTTTGACTAATCCTGTAAAAACCTGTGTCTGGGCATAACTTATGTAGCACCACTACTAAATATGTCATTGAATTAAGAAGGGGTCACTCAGGCAAGTAAATTTATGACAAGGCATAAGTATTTAGGAAACCCTAGCCTAATATTTTTGACTATGCAGAAGAAAGTTTACTAAGCCTTGTTTACACTAACTCAGATTATACAGGAAGAGTGTACATTGAAAAAAATCTGATTTATACATACAACTAATTTGTAACTTACTATTTATAAAGACAGTTGCAGCTTTTTACAGAACTGTAATAAGAAAAAAAACTTCTGAATTTACAGCAACCTATATTAAGTATTTTGCTGGCACATTTATTGAGGAAAAAGAACACAGGATGAAAATTCCACTGGAAAAAGGTCAGGGAGGAACAGAAGATACCTCCTGAAGAAAATGTATCTCACTGAAGACTTCCTTCCTTCTTTGCAAGAGAGGACTATCAGAAATAAGGAGTATTTAACAGTTTTCCAAAAAGGTGGATTTGGTGGGGGAAAACATCTTGCATCTCTGTCCCACTCTCTATTATATAAATATTTTTTGAAGATAACTACAAACTGAACCTGTGGACTTTTGATTAAATAAAGTGCACTGAGGAATAGTAGGAAGGCCTAGGAAATCTTCTCAACAAGTGGTGTAACCTTCCTGACAGTCAGGAGGTTAGTTAAAGACACTGATCAAAGCAGAGAAATCAGTATCTCAAAGAAGTTTGTCTCAGCAAGCGAGGAGTGTCTGATACTACAGACTCCTTCATAGTCACAAGCATGGCTTCAGTAGATGCTCTTCTAGACACAGAAGCTGATGATACAACTGGTAGGATCCTCTTTTATTTAATGTACTTGACTTGTAATAAGTTTCATAGTTCTGGTCTGTTTTGGTTTGGTTTATTTTTATGGTGGCTTAACAGGTGCCTGAGACCAATTCAGTCCTGATGGGAACAGCTGCAATTTAATGCTGGCCTACACAAAGACTGAATTTGGTTTATGATGTCTGTGATCTTTTAACTTTGAAACAAAGTTCAAGGGAAACATTCAAGGCATAAGGATTGTAATGCCCGTATTTTGGTAGCACATTCATGCAGCTTGAACTTTAAACTGATGTGCTTTCTTTAATAATTAATTTTAAAAAGAATTAGAAGAGCTCACTTTAGAAGAAGTTTGGCATGAGTTGCTCTAATGTGTCTCATTTTCCATCACTAACTTTCATTGATCAGAAAAAAGGTCATTCAATAGTTCCACTCTATAAAGATGAAATAACTACTCTTGGGGAAGGTGGATTAAAGATTACTGGTACTTTTTGCAACAAGTGGAGTTTTTACTTGAAACTACGAACGCTGGAGAATCTCAGAAATCTGAAGAAATCATGTAATGTGATTTATGTGATATTACACACAAATTCAGTGACTGCTAGTATCCTTATGCCTTTGTTGTTACCCACATTAAGAAAAACAATGCATCAAGAACAAGGTGAGGTTGCAAATCCCCCTGTCAAAGTGACAGGTGCATGCTAACTGACATTTTAATGTTACGAGCAGTAAACTAATCTCAGTTAACATGCACCTGCCACTTTGACAGGGGGATTTGGGTACTCAGTGATTGTAGGACTGGAGCATTCTTAAGGTCAATAAAGAAAGCTCTACTGAGTGCTATGACACCTCTTGCTCTTTCTCTTCCTTTTGCAACTGTTCTCTTGGCCTGGTGGGCTCCTTTTTTTCTGGGCTTTCTATGTACTGAGGCCCAAAGGTGTCCCGAGTACAGACCCCTGTGCTGGAAGGGAGCCTCCAGCAGTCTCACCCTCATTCTTCTGTGCCTGTCCTGTCTGCTACCACCTGACATGAGTTGGGATAACACATGGACTGGTGCTAAGCTAGTAACTAACACCTACTACATCAGGGCAGAAAGCTGCATTCAGCTTCTTGCCCATCTCTGTTCTGTGCTAGATGTATTTGGGGTTTTGTACATTTTCCCAGTTTCGGATGTCCTTGGCCCAAATGTTTTGTTGCTAAAACACTTTTTTTTCTTACTAGTGAAGAAACCAGAGAAGTCAGATATTGCTGAGGCCCCAAGGTCTTAGAACAGCAACATACAATTGCATTCACTGGCACTGCACACATGCTCAAACTTAAGTATGTGTGTTATCTACTCTGAATGAGATGGCAGTGAAAAAGGGAAAAGCCTTTTTGTATACTAAGTCTGCCTCTGCTGCATTAGGTCCGGACAGTTCTGTAAAGACAGCTCTGTGAGTGTTCAAAAGAATAATGAACTCAAGAATAATCTGTGACCAAAATTTGTAAGATCAGGGAGATCATGTATGGAAGAACTAAGGAACACAGCTATGTGACTTTTTTTTTTTTTTTTAATCCAATATTTGTTAATAGTACACCCATTGCAGAACTGGGGGATGGGATCTGTCAGTAACAATTTTATTTTGGAGGCTTTTCAAACTGGCCCTGGGTTTTGGTTTTGGTTTGAGCAGTATAAAGATCCAGTTGAAGAGTGTTCCTCTCTCAGTTCTATTCTTGTATTTTAAATTTATATTATAAAAAAATCTGTATCTTGATTATTGGATTAGAGCTCTCATCAGTGCTTTCAGGAAAAGGTTGTTCTTGATGATGTTTTGGTTTTGTGGGTTTTTTTAAAGTTTTACAATGATAATGTTAAATGCTGTATGAAAGATTGTTTTATCTAATAAACAAATCTCCTGTTGTGAATTCAGACTAATGGAATCATTGTTTTTGTCACAGGTGATCCCCGGACATCCTGTTGTGCCCTGAGAGACAATGGGTAGCCCGACACATATTTGACTCAAGGGAGATAACTTGTAGAAGACTAAGTTGTAGCACAGATTCAGGGTTCTGATGAAAACTGAGATGTTGATGGCAATGAACATTATTTCAGACATGAAAAACTTCCAATATTAAAAATGGTAAGCCATTTGGGAGGAGGGAAAATGTGTAGTGGAGATGCTGAATTTTGCCAAATGTTGAACAGAACTGAACATAAATTTATGGTTTCAATAAAGCTGTTCCTCAGACTGGTTTTGATTGAATACTTTACTGAATCAAAGGTTTACTTCATAAATCTGTTAAGTGTACTATGCTGTCAGTGACCAAAGACAGAGGTGGGTATTTCAAATAACTAATACTCTATTCTTACTAATATGTCTGTCAAACTCATCTATTTATTCTTACTGAAAGATTTTGCATTCTGAAGTTTAGAGGCACTACTTTTTCTAGTTGGCTGGTGCCAGCAGACAATGTTACTGATACTCTTACACTATTTGCTGTCTCTTTTAGGTTATCCTTTTTTGGAGGGGTTCTCCCTTTCTCATTAAGATTTTTTTTCTCTCTTCAATATTTTCATTAGCAATTTCTGATCTGCTTCTTCTCTTTTTTCTGTTTCTTTTTACACCATCCACTTTTCTGTCATGTTATAACATAGATTCTTCATGTCTTTCTAGTATAAGACATCATCAGCAAGTCTATTTTAGTCACAGAAAATGCTACCAACAATAGGCATCCAGTGCTGATCTGACAATGTCTGTTCTGTTTGTGCAACAAGGCTTGCTTTCCCAGGGTAATGAAAATGTTGCAGTGTCAATTCAATGTTATGCATCATAGTTTCATTTTGCAATTCCAATAAGCACTAGCTGTTGGCAGTTTTTCTTTTACTTACATCTGTCAACTGCCTTAAATTGCACACTTTCCACTCATGAGAAACAGTTACCAATCTCTGTTTCAGGAGGACAAGTCTTACTAAGAATTCTTCAGGATAACACCACAATTTGTTAATGCTTTAATATTTGCTTACTTAATGAACAAATAAACATGTATTTAAGGTGTAATTAAGTAATGTTTGGGACTATAATACAAATGTTGCTACTAAATAAGTTCTTTTTAAAAATATAGCCCTCCTGAAGTCACAAAGATGGACAGTATTACAGTTCTGCAGAATAATCGAGGTTCCTAGCTTAGATGACAGAATAAAGGGCTGATTATCTTCATTTTAAGAATGGGTAGAATATACAAGAAAACTTTGCCGATACCTGTTAATTCAGATGATAAGCATCCTGCAAACTTGTTAATCTTTTGTTTTAGAGAGTAGAGCAGAAACTAAGGTACAATCACTAAGTCTATTTACAGCTTTTACATAGTGACTTCTGTAGTTATGTAGTTTTGTTGTAATAACTGACCAGTAAATGTTCAAAGTTTCATGTCCTAAAGTTTTTTTTTATTAAATTTGTTATCCATAAAGAGAATGCAGACTTATACCTCTTCCTTGAAGAAAGACATTGACACCAAAAGTAAAAGACTTTTCAGCTCATTCATTTCATTGTATAAATGATTGAATATAGTATCAGGTCATACAGTTAGATAGGATTTTTGAAGAGTAGTTATTGCCTTATGGATGATCATGAAAATGCAGCTCTTGATTATTGCATAGAGTCTTTTATTTGAGTTAAGGACTTGAATTAGGTTGTCTGGGTTTTGGAGAGGGGATTGGGGTAGATTTTCTGTATCATGGAGGACTCCTCATCTTCTCCGCTGCTCGAGTTCTAAGAAAGTCCTTCAATGCTTCACTCAGACTGCAATCTCAGCTAACTCCCAAGGTCTCATGCTCACTGAAACAGGAGAGAATAGAAGCAACTGAGTTCAAACTGTGTTCTGTATGACTAAGCACTGGAGTTCTCTATTCAAATATATACTAATCACCTGGAAAATTTTATGGATTATTTCAGGTTAATAATATTCTATTTTTCTGTCCACACCTTTAAGCAGAATATTTAGCTATGTTTGTGTAAGTGAGGCAGGATATGGAACTTTCCCATGTAGGCCTAGAGAAACCCCATTCTACATGATGTGTATGTGTGATGCTGAAATATAAGGTGTATTTATATTGCATCACCTTGAATTTGGGGTGCAGATGCAAGGCTAGCAAAAGTAATTAGTCTTCATGGATAGGTTACCAAGCAAAGGTACTCTGCCCCTGTGCTGACAGAGGTCATCTCCTCCCTTGCTGCTTGGTATTGTGTGAGGTCAGTCAGTAATACTGCTTTTCGTAGTTGTCTGTTTCAGCTGCACCCCAGTATTAGCCTAGTGTGATTATAGTGCAACTGCTAGTACTATGTTGTTTAGCCAGACAAGATGGCCAAATCTATAGCCATTGGCCAAAGTGATGAATAGGGATCAGCTTTGAAAACTGGTACCCAATCACACCGTAGAGAAGTTTCAGCAGATACCTATCTTTGTGAGTGTTCTGTGGAAGAGTCATGAATTTTCTTTCCCTCTGGTAGTAGCTATGGGTTTAATTTGATGTTCCTGTTTTCCAGACTGAGTGATGAACAGTTTTCTACTCCTTAGTCATACTTGGTTTTTAAGGGCACATTCATCTCCCTCTCTGTGTTTGTGAGAAAAGAAGTTATTTCATTTTCAGAGGTGAAAGAATATTTTTCCAGCCCAATACAGTTCGGGTATAACATTTTTGCTTTAGAGATATTGGAACGAAGGTACCTTTTTATGTGAATTTTCCTCAGTAACAGCCACTATTTGCTCCTTCAGTAAGACATCACAAAGTCACTTGTAAAATTAAGAATTACAATGCCTTTTTATCCTCCTTCATCATTCTTTTGGTGTTTTTTAATTAAGTGATAGCATCCACAGACTTATATTGAGACTGTATATTGTTGAAATTATGGGACTTACATCTTATGAAGAATTGAAGTTTTTATAAATGAAAATTAGTTACTTCAGTTGTATTTTTGTTTCATTTTAGATGAAGAATTAATGGCCTATAAATAACCCCTCCCACCTGTTTTTATTGACAGCTTATGCCTATTTTGCATTAATATGTTATTTTTTAATATTTATTTACCTTAAAAATATGTCTCCAGATTATCTGTGGCTGTGTAACTCTGGGGTCTGCCTTCAGTAATTTGAGCATTGCAGTGTACCATAATGCCTGCACCTAATGTGCAAGTTCGCATAATTGCAACTTACCACATTTCCATTATGCCATCTTGCACCTCCAAACCTTTCCTTAATGTCTGTTACTGAATTAATTCTCACTTAGAACAAAGGATTGAAAGGGACCTTCTTAGTCATCAAATCCAATTTCCAGGTGTAGTAGGTGTTTGTATAAATCCTTTCAGAATCACCTTTCACCTTAGGGTTACACCTTTTTCTCCTTATTCCAACTCAGGAAGGGTATTCTCACTGACTGAAAGTGTTTTCTGTCAGTTTAAACGCTGTTGCTATTGCCAGTTTTGCTAGTATCGATGTTACTTAACATTACTTGGCATGTCTCTATTCTTGTAATGAGTGAGAATAAAAACGTCACCTCTTGGTGCTCATTTTGCTAGTCCAGAATAGGTGGACATCAAATTTTATTAGTCTATTTACAGAATAACCTTTCCCCTTCTGTGGAAGTGCAGTACCCCCAAGGGTCTGCCTCATCTCTGGGAATACCTTCCCTAAAAGCAAAATCCTGGTTTTACTGAAATCAGTAGCAAACCTCTTACCAAGGTCAGTCCTTGTGTCCTTTCACTTTTTTTTTTGGCTGCAGTGCTTGCCCAAGAGTGAGAAGACTGCTGTACTGCTGACAACCTTAAACCTAATGTGCGGTAAGCAGAGAAGTCTGCCATAACTTTGGAGTCAGAACAGGATTTTTGTTGGATCACTGGTAGCCTTGCAATATAAGCTGACTACAGATGAGGGTCATAAGTGCCTGATCTGTATGTCCTGAGGTGAGGACATCATGGGAAAGTTACATAGATTTTTACATATAATGTGTATGCAAGCTATTAAGTCTGAAAATTGATGCTTCAGTAACACCACTGGGAATAAAGAAAACACAAGAGACCATGTGGTACTGCAGTGCTGTCCTCTGTATATTTTGTTTGCTTGTTTAAAAAATGGAAATTATTTTACTTAGGTCAAGGACAGTTTCTTGTACTAGAGTAGTCTGCCCAGATCACATCAGTTTATCCTTGTCCTTATCCGTTATCTTTGTCCTCTCCTGTTTTCTAGGAACTCATAGTTCTGTAATACATTCATTAAGAAGAATAAATTTCTGAATTTTGTTTTTGCTGCTATATCCTCATTGTCTGTTGTGAAATACATCATATGTAAGAAAACAACATTCAGTATCTCTGACATGAAGGAAGGACAGTAATGTTTCCATGTCTTTCCTCCAGCTAGACACAGGTGGTGGGTTTAGTTCATGGTATAAATAAGAACTGTTTCAGTGTTTCTGTAATTCATGTTTATTGGGACAGCTTCTACAGGGGTTTTTGTATCAGTGAGTTAACACTGATACAAAATGTTAACACAGATTTCACTGGCCAAGTTCATTCTAACTATTCTGTATGTAAGCATCCAGGCCTATGGAGTTAATACTGTAATCCTCATCAAGCTCAGTAAAACAGCTTTTAATCTCCTCTGTATACTGGTAAGTACGGAGAAGAAAGCAGAACCAAGTTTGTGTCTTAGCGTATATTAAATACGTAATGTAGCACTCAAAATGCAGTGAGATTTTCTTGCACTTTTTTTGCAGCAAAGGTTTTTGAATGCAGCTTTTGGCAAATAATGGGCATTTCTTTTGCAGCTTCTTTTACAATTTTGTAAACTCTTGTTTTTTTGCAGCTATGCTGATTTCTATCTTATGCATTCAGTGTATCCCACTACTGGGAATCTCTGCAGTGCTTGATAAGATTGTCAACTGTGAACAATTTGTTGGTTGCTGGAAACCTGCCTTGATTTTCATAGTTTTTAAGGCATAGTACTTGTTCACAGATACTCTCCTCCAACTGTATTTTGTATCTACCTAACAACCCCATTTTTGTTCAATTATTTTTGGGTGTTCCTAGGAATCTGTTGTGCTTCTGTTCATCGTACATTTGCACTTTTTCTTTGGATGATCCATACACAC